TTWRARGRMWAAWTTYYMAAAAAGGCGTCWATTTCRTCCCCTTAAACAGTCCCACAATGCAMTGCAATRCCWAATCSACCCAGYTTTTTCGTCATCCTCGGAATCGGGTTTATATTATAATTCTTTTATTTCAGGAAAATAAGTGAGGAACTCAAATGTACGAACCGTTCCAATCTGAAAGCATGTTTGCAATCAAAGTCTGTCGCTGACATCATCTTGGCTCAAGCAAAGATTCAAAACGTCCCAATCTTGTCACCATTTGCCCCAGTGGTGGATGGARAAATCTTGACAGGTATGCACTGCTAAAAGAGATAGTGGTTTTCATTAACCCGTGAAGCAAAATTTACTTATTAGATGGTAATAGCCAGATTCAAATAGAAAACAAAGGAGTTAGAGCGTAATAGTACTAAATACGCTAAAATGTACTTCACAGGTTTATGAAGATCACTCTATGGTGTTTGGCTTCCGTTAATAAAAGTTATAATGCTCAGGTCAAACGTCGAACTTCACATTAGCTGAGCCTAAATGAAACAATGGAAAACAAGGCGGAGATGTCATTAGGTTCGCCTCGTCTGAAGTGAGCTAAAAGGTGTAATGTTTTCCCATTTCAGACCACGTGTCACTCTCTTGGAAATAATTTTCTTTGTTTGAATTGTGTCAATATTCATGTGCAAAGAAATGGGGAAACATTACGACAAAGACGAAAAAGTCTATTGTCTACGTATTACACATTTATCCACAATTTCCTTAAAAAAAAGATGTTTAAACTAAGAACACCTCTAAATCGGGTGCTCAGTTTTCTCCCTTCAATGTCCGTATTAGAGATGTTGGRCTGTATTTTTTGTGATTGATGGAAGCCAATAACGATAGGTATTAGAGACACCTTGAAAAAAAGGTTACTGGAGAATTCATTCATTCACTTTATTTCGTCGCAAGACTCCCCCGATGTGCTGTTCAAGAAAAGCAATCAAATCAAAGTGAAGAGTGTCATGGTAGGGATTGTTGAAGATGACGGAGCAATATTCTTATCACCTTCTTTACCAGGTATGGAATAACATTCGACTTTCTCCAAACAATAAATCTTATTCTGAAGCGGTTGATTCGAAGTCTGAAGTTGGACAACATTACGCCCAAGGCAAAAGGGTCCTTTCCCATGTCTTCTGCCATATGACTCTGAAGTATCGTTTAGCTAGGTWTCTCAGGGTTTATTATATTTAGGTTTCTTTATCCATAAAAAAGGCCCATTGTCAGTCCTATTTCCATAAGAATCTCAACTGAATTACCTTAGCTGGTCGTTGCTATTGATACTGGATTGTCTCTTATCTGCAGGTTTGGCTAACAACATAGGATCAGTAAGCCAAGGCATCAACCAATCTGTATTACATTACGTCATCAAGTCCAATATACTGACAAACACACCGCCACCAGCAGAAAGACTCATTAGCCACAAGTACAMCAACTGGAAAAACCCTGAAGACCAAATGGCAAATAAACAACAACTTATTAACGTATATACGGACGCTTCATTCAGTGCGCCGGCGTTACGACTTGCCCAGCTTGTCTCACTTCAAGGGATTTCAACATATTTCTATCACATCCAGAAGAGTGCAYTGAATACCACTTTGCTACCCAGCATTCCAATGGAGAAGGGCGTTGCTTATGGTAACGATGTGCGCCTGCTGTTTGAAAGCGAGTTTACTGATGAGAGCATRCGCAGTGGTGGAGCAGGGGGAATTGTGGGTCAAGCATTTAGGATGTTGATGGAGTTTGCAAAGAAGGGGTAAGAATGTTATTCTACTACTCTATCTTTTGAGTAGTATTACTTTGTTAACTGATATTTATACCTTGGCATACTCAGAAATCAAATCAAATGTAGTAGTATTACGCGATTCTGCAGGGAATTCAACGTGATTTCCAAGGAAAAGTCACACAATATTCAAAAGAAAGTCACGTCAGATGGAAATAGAAAAGAAATGCCTCAAATTCCATAGAGAAAATGTGACTTCTTTTTTATATTTCCATGTTAGCCTCGCATTCAAAACTATTTTAAGAAGGGTGGATTGCCACTTAATTCTCAAGGCAGAGTTGCGTGATTCTAAAAATGAGGTCTCGTGCTACTCAGGTATGTCACGCAATCCGCAGCAATGTGATTCTCAAGGATGTTACGTGATGGTCTGTCATGGGGAATTGAATAAAACCATGTACTAGAGTTTACAACTTACCGTTTACGAACTTGTTGTGTTGTTGTTGTACTGTAGTAATCCAACGCCCCCAAGTAGTCATTCACCACTCAAATGGCCGACGTACGCACCTAATGACCAGTATCTTTCCATTGGGAAGTCAAATATCTCGGTACAATCAAAGTTTCTTTCCGATCGCATTGCATTCTGGAATGAACTGTTGCCTTCCATGATGTCACAGTCATTAACAAACACTCCCAAGCCACCTTTGTCTACAACCACGAGTAGACCTGACAATGGAGATGWCTGCGTCCCCAAGAAAGGTAAACTGAAATTGTTAAAGAAATATAGATTAGTTACCTAGTGTAGCCTAATTGGTTAGCCAATATCCACTAGAAAACGATCCTACTTCAGGAACCTTGCTTGGAGTATTACGCGCCTTTGTTTGAAGAAGAACTTGCTTTTCTCTACTTTCACATCCCCATAATACTTTGCGTCTTTGGGGGGGGTAACCAGAGGGTAAAAACCCACTTATTATGCTGAAGGCTGATCAGACAATGTTGACAATTGTTTGGTATCCAAAAATAAAATTAAGAAGTAAAAAACAGAAAAAGATAGAAGCTTGAAGACGGTTATGGTAAATTTTAAACATTTTTTCGTAAGTCAATACATTTTTTGTAAGACCAAAACTCTTGATGATCTGTACACGGAAAAATAACTTGGAATAAACTGATAATCAGTATTGTACAGATAAAAGCAGGTATAGTATAAATTCAATTAAGAAACCTTTCAATTTGGGACAGTTTTTGATTGGTTACCCCCAAAGACGCAAGGCATTATGGGGATGTGAAAGTAGAGAATAGTAGGATTTGGAAGTTGGGATCGTAGTTTTTTTTCCTTTTTTATCGTGTCACACGCAAAAGCTTCCATACTAAAATTTTCTAACAATGTTTTTATCATAAACTCAGAGCTAAGCTTTACCTATATGTTCTCATTCATCTTTTCCCAGAAAAAACCACCAAGGCTCTGACAGCTGTGGTCGCTGTCATGGCTATYGTCATCGTTGTCATGCTSGCAATCATCGTCTACCAGACCAGAATGCTTAGCAAACGTCCAAATGCGCCACCGTCACAACCAGAGCATTAGCTATTCTGCAAAAAAGAACTAGGCCAAGTTATAAACTATACAATTTATAGTTTAGAACTGATTATTGAAATTTAGTYTAAGTGCGACCGGGCACACATGGCGGTTATCATCCGAGGTCCCGTCCATACGCATCCGAATTTTTTCAAAAGAAGCGATTTTTTTTGAAATTCGTTTACATGTGGACGRGGCGTGAATGTAACGAGTTACTACGCGTACACTGTACGACATGCCATAGTATTTATATGGCTTTCCATTCACTGTCTTTTTACTGTGACAACCTTCGAAACAACTGCAGTGTATCGTTATGGCGGCTCATATGATTTATTTTTTGAAYACAAAAAGACGGAAAACACTGGATTAAGGGATATAATAGTATAYAGTGAAACATAAAATTGAATGAGAACCCCCAAGATAATCCTTTTTGAGTTTGTGCGAGCATAGCGCGTCGAGCAAATACTACAGAAGATAACGTTAACGTCAAAAAAATCAYGTAAATAAATAGATTCCTTACCATGAATGTGCCATCTTGGATCCTGATTCATTGTTTATCAACCCCTCTCAGCTTTATCGTTTGGCTCCCTGTCCACACATCCGCCATCTTGTTTTCTGCGGATGCTGATGCTACACTCTCTTTGGTCTTTCAAAGTTGTTTCCAGCGAACAAACTGCTTAACGCCTAAACTATATTTCAGTAGCAATGCTACCGTACGCTTCGCATGGGTTGGTGACGAAATAAAAGCATTGCGCGCTCTAAGGAGTATGGTATCTCTCCCCTGATCGTATCCAGGAGCAGGGATGGGTTGAAAAAGCATGTAGTTAAATCTTCCCGTTAAGGAACTTAATTYTGACTAAAATTTGTAATTTCACCTTTTTATTCTCAAGCGCAATGGATAATGAGAATAAGTACATTTGCCATTTAGCACGGCGCATAAAAACTACAAGACATCTTGAATAAATTTAACCTTTTGAATTAACAAATCAGCTTATTATTTATAAAAATATATACATGCATTTACCTCTATATCAAAAACAAATATACCATTTTTTGTGACAATTATAATTTTTTTACCTTGAGTGTTTGAACCGTAACAAATATRAACAAATATGCAGCCATTTTGAAAAATACTTTTGAATTACTCTGAACGCGCTATTCTACAGGAATGCTGCCCATCCAATGTACATTTGGGCMAGATTATTTATGTCGGTGGCTTCCTGGAAACAAAGGCAAGATTATATGGTAAAATACTGGCGTTATTCTTCTCAACTCAACCGAGATATATACTTATTTCAATAAAGTTAGTCACCTGAAAAGCTACAAAGCTGAGACCGACAAGGATTATGGGTAGATATATTTTACATGTTTCACCCGCTTGATAACAGTTGATGGACTTGCGAATCTTTTACCAGTTACAGTCTCACCTCTTCTGACCATCCTCAAGCTTTAGTTTATATCAAAAGCTTTACTTGTTTTTTATGAAAAACAAGTTTCCCATGATTCTCGGTGTTATCAGTTTTTCTGTTATCAGGTTTTTGGTGACTAACTTTATTGAAATAAGTATATATTGCCATTCAATTGATGGTTTTCAGAGCCGCCATGTTGGATGAATTAAACAAACGATTCTTCATTAGTCTCTTGATATATCATCCAACAAAGCCGCCGTGTCCTTTCTTATTTGTTCTCTTGGGAATGATTGAAAACCAGCAAATCGTAATGAGATCAGGATTAAATTCATAGCTGAATGAAGTATATACATTAAAAGTGCTGCGGTATGCATGAAGAAAACCGCAACTAAGGAGGACTTTACTTACAGTGATGAGTTTGTGAACTTGTCCTTCTATCGACAAGGGAATCATGATTCGGTTCTTGCTGTGRAATCCCTTCAGGCGCTGCTCGATGTCTTTGAGGATTTTAACAGCCTGGAGGATAACATTGGTAAAGTGTAAAGCATACAAACTGAATGCAAGTAATGATGATTGACTGAACAACCCAACTGGACATATTTCAAAGATGGCGTCTATTTGGTCCATTAAACAAATCCCAAAATACATTGCAATGACAACTCGACCCAGTTTTTTCCTCTACCTCGGAATGCCTAATGAACACGGTAGCCAGCCAATCAGYGCGCGCGTAATATTTCAAATCTTTATGAACAATCAATAYTTCACCTCTTCATTTGTTACTTCACCAGTCTCCTTGTTCTTGGCCTCAGCATGCAAGTCTCGTCCTCGTATTTTCTGCCACTCGACCAGTGGGTCGTATATGAACGTCCCTAAGACACTATAGAAATATCTATCTAATCAGTAGACGAATGCGCTGGAAAACTGGTTCAAGATCCAACACTCTTTTTTCAGGGAGAGGGGGAGGGGAGGGTGGAAATTAGAAAAAAAGAGAATTTGATAAAACGGAGTTACTTACGTTAGTAGCGAGTCGCATTGTTCTCTCATTAGTCTTAGGGCGACTTCACAAGAACGTCGGTACACACCCTCGTAACCAAGGAGACCCTG